AATAAAGGCGATATTATAATTTAGTCTTGCTTTGAGAGTTGTGGGTTCCTCAAGGGACAGAAATCTAATGCAAGATAAAAAAATATTGACATAAAAACAAAACCTGATAATATGACGAAGGAAAGAACACAACTTTAATAAGCATACAACCACATACAACTTGCATCTTGATGCTCGCCAAATATTTGTTTCAAAGTGGGTGAGAAATAAGCGAGAGAAAAAGAAAATATGCCACTCTCTGATTAATAGAGAAACCATACGATCATTGCCACATTTAGCCAACATAAGGGTGTGGGTGTGGGTGTAGGTATGAGTATGGGTATAGCATTGACCCACTCCCCACACCTCACACACTGTTGAAGTCTGCATAAACGTAATGTTTGAGATAAAAATTCGAAAATACGCTTTTTCTAAAAGCCTACGTTCCTACAGAACTCCCTAGAAAGCAGACATTATAAAAGTTCAATACCTTAGTCAAATCTCAATAGGAATCTAAATCCTTTTAACGGGGTATATACCCTTGGTTCTTTTGATTTGTTGTAAAACTTGTCGAATTACACATATCCAGAAATTTTCATGATTCGTCGATTGTTTTTGCGGAAGATGTGCAATTTAAAAAAACAATTTCGTGAAGCCCCAGCAGAACGAAAAAAGTATTTTGAAAATCCTTTTGCACATCGTTCTGAAGATTGAGAGCATCTCCATGAAAAGTGTGGGAGCAAAAATTCTAGAGGATACTTCAAATCATGGAAATAAGAAGCTTCAGAGTGATCCGATGTGAAATGGAATTGAGAGATTAGAAAATTCGAAAATCAAAAGCTCAAAAATTTGAAAGCTCAATATTTCTCAAAATTTTTGTATAGGATCTGAGGACGATATTCCTTATCCTTATGCTTGGAACTATCCTTTACAACTTTTGTTCCGATACTTTTACTCTTCCATGTTTTCCATGCCTAGAACCTGTGGCAAGGCTTTGATCGCAGCGCAGGACTCGCCTGCTAACTTGCTAATTGTTTTGAAAAATTATCGCAGCATTTTTATTAAAAGTGAATGCTAATTTTCTATAGGCTATCAGTCATTCTCTATCAAATAGTGTTACTCTTGAGTTATTTCTGGAGGGTCAATGCCACTTCCCGGTCTGGGGGTTCTCAATGCAGGAGGAGCTGAGAAGTCGCAGCCGATTCATTGAGATAATAAGTATGTCACTTTATAGCACGTTAGGTTCTGCGACGAATGATATATCACTGATTTTTTTTTCAGAAAGCTGTTGAACAGTTATAGGTACGAGAGCTCCCAGAGCACGATTTTCCAAAAGATTTTTAAGAGAGTTGGACTCTAAGCGAGACCATTAACCTCTTTTTTTCAAGCTCTTTCATCTAACAGGATACACCAGACTCTTTTTTATATATCCGCATGCAAAACATAGAATCGGCTGAGAAATGTGATAGTTGCTCAAGTCTTCATATCGGTTTTCTTCGATCCGATCTCGAGCTTGTGAATTCTCTAACTCAGACTTTCGATAATAAAAAATTTTGAAACTTTTCACATATCTTAACTAGATAATTGTCTGTTTGCTGACAAAAAATGACAGGAAGTATGGGAAGGGTGTATATTCCCTTCCCCTAAGGCTCTTATTAGAAGACTATGTAATATCTATAGACAAAAAGTCATTGAAATCGAAAGGAAGTATCTGAAGAGGTTCCCTCGTTAGTGTAAAATGCGTATGTTAGATTTAAACTTACAGTGGTGACGTTACTTAGTTGAATATACACATTCTATATGAATTGAGTGTTGGAAGCAAAAAGCTAAACAAATGACGTACTTATAAAACATAAATCTGTCGATGGTGTCACAGTTCATCGACTTTTTTTTATGACAACATTTGCAAACACAGAGCATCTGACAGATATTTGTAACAAAGATCATCTGCCGCAAAATCTTTTGTAAATGTTAATTGTATTTTCTCAATAATTCAATATAATCGATAAAGTCGTACGAATATGTTTTTCTTAAAATCTAAAAAATTCATATTAAATTTACTAAATAACGGAAAATAAAGAACAACACTTTTTTTAAATACAAAACATCATCTTACAAGCTGCTACAAGAAGAAAAGGAGATTGGAGAAAGTGTGTATACTATTCTTTTTTTCTAGTTCGTTTGCATCGAGAACAAATAGATAATAGCTCAGCATCAAATAATGATGCTTCTAGTTTTCTTTAGATGAATCACATTCAACTGTTGGGAATGAACTCACCTAGTGGCACACATTGGATCATATGGATGTGGAAGTCCAAGAGCGAATCTTTCAATTTTGAGCAAAATGACGAATCGACTGCTTATCATTCAACTATTTCAGCCTATATGGAACATGCTTATACTTGTTGTGCATCACAAATATATATCAATGAAAAATATATGTTTGATTTTAATAAAATGTTACAAATCTCTATTGATGACAATCATCGTCAACGTCCAGTGAAACGATATATTTGATCGAATTTGAACGATGACAATATTGGTTGGCGATGTGAACGTTTTGCTTTTAAACTACTAGTAGATCGAGAGTTAGGTGATGGTGTGAATGCAAATACAAGTGAAGATGATGTTACATATTATGGATTGACATTTATTGACGACTGGTTACTAAAATTTACCAATGAAAAATTCAAAGTAAAGTATAATATGATATACCCCGTTCTTGTTCGTAGTATTCGAGTTGAAGAACAATAGAATTGAGCACCAAAGACAACAATCCAATGGTTGATAGATCAACTTGAAGAAGTTAAAAATGAAATGAAAAAGAAAAATGAATGTAAATGTGTTGAACGTTTGAGTGAATGTTGTGTTAAATTGTATAATAAAAGATTGTTTTCTATTTCGTCTTGTCAATGTCACACTTCAAGATGATGATCGTACAAAATTGAATACACTGCGACCTTATTGTTATCTCATTTATAATTATATTGATCGTCGCACTTAGGATTATTTATCTGTACGTTGTCGTCTTTGTCAACTACTTCTTCCAACAGAAGCACCATCTCTGTTTGCCTATTCAGGCGATTTTGTAACAAAAGAAAAACTTGACGAATATCAACAAGCAAACGGACAATGTCACAAATATTTTCGACGGCTTTCGTTCGTTTCAACATCATATCAACGTCATGTTGCAGAATGTTTTGCACGAAATGTTTTGTATGTTATTGAATTAAGACGAGCCATGCCAAATGATCAATTTGCTGATTTGTCTAATAATACGTTCGTTCCGCATGAAGAAGATGTACTTTTATGACCCGGTTTTCGATTTCGAGAAAAGATTACAAATAGTTCATATTAAAATTGTACCATCATATGTATCCAATTTAAGATGAAAAAAATGTGTATTCCGTGACACATTTGTACAATTTATTTTTGAAAATAACCATAGCCCGAACGTATCTGCATTCTCAAATAAACTCAGATTGTGAGTGTGGGTGAAGAAGAAAGGAATACACTCACACCCACATTCAAACCCGGATGGCACATAACTTGATTGTTTTCATGAAGTTTTTAAGCCACTACATGATACAGGAAGTTCCATAATACGGTTATCGATAAGACTTTTGATAGTACTTCAATTCTTGGCGAAGACATGAACCCCCTTTCTTATCTGACAGGATAGAAAAGGCTCGTTTTTGTATGTCAGATTATACTTCAGAGTTTCACCTTGTTGAGCAACTTGACTTTTGCCAGAAATCTCGAAACTTGAAATTCTCCACACATATTAGGCAGATGGTTATTTATCTGCTCATAAAAAACTGAGAGTGAATGAAGAATCTATATTTTCTCTTTGAAAGGACAGATTTTTTTTTGTTTAAATGGAAAGCCCCTACAATTTAACATACACCTTCACTTTCTACATTTGCAGTACAACACATCGAACGCTTTGAAAAGTAATTCATCATCGATTGAGCAGAACTCAAAATTTAAAAAATTCCCATAGGCATGGAAATCAATCACTTGATTTGCATTAACCTTTGTGCACAATTAGTCATTCAAGAATTTTGAACACTATCCTTACCTTCTGCTAATTTTTTGTTCAGTTGTTATCATCTGTAAAAATATAAATAACATATATTAAATCAAAGTCATGGACATTTTATACAATATCTTGAGTGTATTCAGATGAAGCAACTAAAAATAGCGTTTCGTTGTTAATGTCTCTGATATATTTTTCACAATCAACAATATCATTAAATGTTTGAAGATAATCAATAACACCACGTAATTGAGCACGTATATATTTACTATGATCATTATCTCGTGTGTTCACATCACGACGAAGCCATATAACTGTAATTCGTTCCATGTTTTACATTCGATTGAATAGCGACGTTGAATTCGATTAATTATCTGATGTAGATAGTCGTTGATAATCCATTATTAGTTATTAAGTCTCAAAATAGAAATAAATTCAATCTTTTCTAATTGAATTGATGAAATAGGACCAATTTTATGTTGTCAAAAATTGATTTCTTTAATTTCTAAACTCAGCTTCCAAAGTCGACCTATTTTTGATACTAAATTATGCAAAATTATTATAAGTAGAGTTATTTTACAAAGTTCTTCGACTATGTATCTGTTTCCGTGTTGAATGTCATTAGAGTATTTTGGACAAATTCAAAAAGTGACTTATTGAATTTAAAAAAATAGAAACTGCGAACATCATGTTTATTCAATTTAGTAGAAGTATTTTGAAAAACAAATCGTTTAGTGACTAATATATGTAAAATTCGTCAGTACATACACTAATTAGTTGTTGATTTGGTTTTATAGGGCTAAAAACTGTAATACATAAAAAAAACACTTGGTGTATAAACGAAAGTTATCAACTGACTTTGTTTTTTCTTTATTTCACTTACTTACAGGACATCAAAGACTTTTACAGAGTGCCAACATTGATTCTATCATAACAAAATAAAACCGTGTTACATCCTCAATAATAGAATTAGCTCATCTATAGACTTAAAAGAATAACATTTTTATTAAGACTACTACTCAATTTTCTCCCGTGATTTTTCACATGCAGTTAAAGAATACTCTATAGTTAAAATTCTTATATTGTTTTAGTGAAGCTTTCTCTCAAACTTACAGTAACAGAAATTACCATTTTTCGTTCTTTTGCTGCGAAGAAAATTTCAGAACAAATGAATCACATGTATTATAAAAGAAATCATTTTTCAAAAGAAATGGTTTGTTCGTAAGCGAATTCTGTAAAGTAAACAGCAGTTGGCCTTACTTATCCTGAAGTACCCGTTATGAATCAATATATAATGAAAAATCAGTGGCAGAATCTTGCTGATTTTCTGTTCCAAATTAAATTGCACATAGTTTCAACATTATATTTTTACGAGGGTGTGAGTGTGGGGAAGAGAAGACTCACATCCAACTGATTCCTTTTTCGAAAAACTGAAAGTTAACTTCACAAGAAAAATACAAGCAACAGTACAAAGTGTATATATAGGGTATTGCAAAAGCCCTTTCGGAAAAGTTGTTTAGTATGTTTTCACTATTCAATTCAACTTCATTATCTACATTTTTTCAAATGATAGGTCAATACATCAAGCTTTGATTTATGCGAGCCAACTTTCAAAATACCCTTCAAAGCTATCACATATACCTAAAATACAAAAATTTATTTTTTTATACATCAAAAAGCATCCAACAAAGACTTTTCTTAATTACTTGGATTTCTTGAATCATTCTGATCTTTAAGTTTTTCCGATTCTCAATAAACATCTTCTAGATATTCGTTTTCATATATTCTCATAAAAAGAAATCCAATGGTCTTAATCCTAATGAATGTAAAAATTATGAGATCGACTCATCTTTTCTAAACCATTGATCCTTAAATTTATTGATTAGACAATAGCGAACTGCCGCGACGCAATGTATTGTTACCGTATGTTACCAAAAATCACTTCTTTTTACTAATTCTTGTTTTCTGTTAAATCAGGTGAAAGAAACTTTACAGAATGTCAAGGTATTTTATTGAACAAGCATTGAATCATGGTGATTAATCGTTGTATTATCAAAAAACTGATCCGACAATCTGTTTGCTTCAGATTACATATTATACAAAAAGTTTTAGTGAGTAAATTGCAACTTCGAAGCAATACAAAAATAACTTTGAGTTCAAACACATCAACCGTAATTATTAACATATATAGATAGTGAACATGTGAATGTAATACATGAAAAGGAAGAAATTAAAAAATAATTGTCGCATTTTGTCTTTTTAACTATATAGAAACAGCTAAATTTTTATATTTCAATACAGGATGATAGCTTTCAAGATTGGTTTTACAGTTTGCTCGTATAAATAAAAACTCGGTTTATTCACATATCATTTCAAAAAAATTGCTAAAGATGAATCGAATAGTAAAGATATATTAAGGAGCTTGTAGGAAAAGACTTTTGGGACTCTCTGCATATGGTAATGAGTAATAGTTAAGTTTTAGTCAATTGCTAAGAAAATCTGAATCCAGAGAAAATTCCAAAAAATTAGAAAATAGGAAAAATGTTCAAAAATCGAATTTCTTCTGCCATATCGGAAAGTCTGGTAATTCCAACTCACATCCCACACCAGCGTTTCTAATAGAAATCTGAAACAAAAAGTCAAATGACACTTTATATTTGCAATCAAAGTGTAAAATGACACTTTGTTTTTTTAAACAGAGTGTCACAAAGTTTCCAAAGTGCAAAGT